CAACAAAAACACACAACAGCTGTTACTGACTGAGAGCGCACTTAGTTATTCATTAGTGAACTACAGACACCACACACACACCCACACACACCACACACACCACACACACACACACCACAACACACACACACACCACACCACACACACACACACACACACCACACACACACACACACCACACACACACACACAACACACACACACATCACACACCACACACACCACACACACAACACACACACACAGCACACACACAACACACACCACACAAACACACACACACACACACACACACACACACACACACACACACACACCATTTTCCTTAATTGGCCTTTGCAGACTGAGGCCTTTCAGACGGTGCCAGAATTAGCCATGAGGGAGACATGACAGGAAGAGGCAACACACGACTGGAAAGAGAAAAGCAGCAGGAGTGATGGAGAGATGGATCAATAACAGGAAATGAAGGCGACTCACCCCTGAAGTCAGCCCCCCCCCCCCCCCCGGTGCTGAGATATCGTGAAGGGACGTGAGGTTAAACATGGTTGGCTGGCGAAACACCCAAACGAAACGTTTGCATTAAATCAGCGCGTTTAAAAGAGAACATTAAAGAAAAGCTTTCCTGGAAAGCCCTATGCGTCGCCGTGGTCACACCTAAAACAGTTTAATGCATATTAGACTTAATTGGAATATTTTCTGTAAATGGTTTTGTGTTTTTGTGTTTTGAGTATTGCTTTAAGATGAGCCCTGCTGCTGTCAACTTTTATAACTTAAAGCTTTATCCCAACTTTGAATTAGGATAGAAGACGGTCAAATAAATCAAGTACATTTGCACTCCTGGAAAAGGTGACTGAAAATCATAGCCCATTTTGGTCCTTTCCAGCTAAGCTCTAAAGTCTTATCTGATAACAGCATTGAATAGCCTGTGTATCGGGGAAAGCTAGTTGGATTAGCCTCCCCAAAAAAGTGTAGACAATGAATGCGGTTAAAATTATAGCGGCGGCCTTAAATCTTAACTTGAATCGTTCCCTTCCCTGTATCATTTTGAAAGAGGAAGAAGAAGAGTGTGAAATATTTTGTTTGCCAGACCTTTGTTTTCCATCTTCTCTAGAAAATACGTCCATCCAGAATAAGATCCAGGTTGAAAAATACATGAATTATACCTGAAGACGTATTCAAAAGTGAATTTAAAAGGCCAGTTTATTCTTGTTTATTCTTCACACTGTCTCCAATTAATTCTTGACCTGTGAACCTCACCTTAAAAGAAAGACATCGTATAGATCAGGGGTGTCAAACTCAAGGCCCGGGGACCAAATCCGGCCCGCGACTTCATTTTCTGTGGCCCCATAAGAGCTTGCAAAGAATATAATATGTTTATTATAAGGTTACATGCTACTTTACAGAAGCACGTTGCCCATAAACTACATGTCCCACAATGCATCTCAAATTTGACTTTTTTCTCAGAATTTGACTTTTTTTCTTCAAAATATGCCGTTTTTCTTAGAATTTGTCTTTTTCTCAGAATAAGATTTTTTTTTAAGTATTACTTTTTTTTCAAAATGTCACTTTTTTTTCGCTCTAAAATTTCACTTTTTTTTTTCCAGAATTTGGTTTTTCTTGTGAAATCATTTTGTGACGTTCTCACTGAAGAGACTTGCAATTATTTGCCCTAGACTTCTGCTTTCAGACCTAGTTAATTATGAAGTTATTACCCTGTCAGATAATAATCCAATGCAAAGGCAATAATGTAATATAATGTTATATATATTAAATATTTGTATATGTATTTTTATATAGTCTTGAAGTTAAAACCCCCTTAATGCTTATGTGGCCCGTGATGAAATTGAGTTTGACCCCCGTGATACTGACCAAAAGCTGGCAAGGGAAAAGAAAATAGGGGCAACAGAGTAGAAAGATGAAGAGAGGAGAGGATGAAAGGAAAGAAAGGAAGTACGGGAGGATGAACAATGGAGGTCAGAGAAGAGAAGGTGCATCTAGAGATCAAGGCCGGAGGAATAAAGAACAACCAGGTGGCGGCAATGAAAAGCTAGGAATTGAAATAAGACTGGACACAAAAGAGAAATACTGAAAAGAGTTTTTAAAATGAACAGACAGGAAGTGAAGTGAGAAGTGAAAGCGTGGTTTCTCTCTTTTTTTATTATAAATAACTCCCCATGGTTTCAAAAAGGGACAATGGAGTTGTTTGCTTTGGTAACTTGTGTTTTCATCTTTTTGATAAACTTCTCAACCGAAATAGACACCTTTCGTTATTTAAATATATACATGTACATAAATCATTTCTAATGGAGCCAACTTTATAAAAATCAGGGAGTTTAAAGTTGTGTTTATTCATCCACACTGGCATTTTATTCTTAGTAAACAAGATTCAATCTAAATTCAACTATATTTGAGTATGTTTTTCTTCCAAAAAATATATTGATAAATTGAAAATGTTCCTCATGTCCAAATGAAAAGAAAACATGTATTATTTGAAACAAATTTGGTTAAAGACTTGCTTTCTTATTTGGTTCAAGGAGACGCTTTTCGAGAACATTTCTGAGAATCTAAATAAATGTTCTCTCCCAGAAACTCTTTTATTCAGAGCTTCTTTCTTTCCTTGAATTTAAAGTGGAGAGTTTTTAAAGGACTTCCTGCTTCCTTTGACTGTGAAAACGGAGTCCCCTTGTTGGACGGTCTGAAGTCTCGGGAGAACCTGAGGTCAGATCAGTGTGTGTGTCTGTATGTGTGTGTGTGTGTCCTAGCATTACTATCCTTGTGGGGACCTACATCTGTTTACAGTCACGTGTGGGGACTCATTACTTTTAGGGTGAAGACTTGGTAAGGGTTAGGGTTAGACATGTGTTGGTTATGGTTAAGGTTAGGATAAGTCTCCAGGAAATGCATGTAAGTCAATGTAATGTCCCCTGAAGTGATGGTATGTGTGTGTGTGTGTGTGTGTGTGTGTGTGTGTGTGTGTGTGTGTGTGTGTGTGTGTGTGTGTGTGTGTGTGTGTGTGTGTGTGTGTGTGTGTGTGTGTGTGTGTGTGTGTGTGTGAATACACGAGTCAAGTATGATTAACAGCCTATGTGGAGTAATTTAATTACAGCAAATCAATAATGCACGCTGTGTCCAATAGGGTTCATTGCAAGTTAGCTGCTTTACTATAGATTACCTATCAAATACAAGATGTGATATTGGAGGTGAGGGATTTCTGGTTAGTGTAAAGTAAACGTGTGTTAAAGGAGACGTTGAAATTGGGTTTATTATGAGTGAAAAGTATTTTGCCCACAGCGGGTAGTTTTAAAAGTTCATTGGAGAAGGTTTGTTCGTACTGGGAGAAACAAAAATTAACCTTTTGAATCTCTAAACTAAAGTACATGCCAAGAAACATTTTTAATTAACAAGCTTTATACAGAATGAGTCAACAGGAAGACAGATATAGATTTTAAAGTTTGACTAATATGGTGTCACTATAACATTTGATTTCACGATTAGATTGTGTCATGCTATGGTTTTTAAGACAGAAGGGTACACATCCAGAAAGACCATTTTAGTGAAATCATCATTATTAACTTGAGTTAAACCCAGTAAGATCCCAGTAACTTTTGACCCCAAAAATATAATCATATAAATAAATAAATAGTCTACAAGTTCAAAAGTAAATATAACACAAAAATACAAATGTAATAATTTAAAGGACTCCCATCAAGGCATTCCTTAAATAAACAACTTTGCAAATGTGTTATCTTGTTGTTTGTCCCACTCTAAGGTTACAATGTGTTTTATGCAATGTTTGTACAAGCGACTGAACACCACGTCTTAAATAGCCGGGCCGCCTCCTCTACAGTCAACCTGTTGTGCAGTAAATACGGGTATTAAAGCCCACTGCTTATATAACTGACTCTGGATCAGCCTCTCTCTGCTACTTTCCACTGTGCCTCCATCTCTCTCCATCTTCCACTTACTAATTTTCTCCCTTTTGTCTACCTCCATCTCTCTCTCCTCGTCTTTTTCCATATCTCTCAGTATTGACCCACACACCATGCAGCTGTATCACATCAAGCCAAGGGCATAAATCAAAGCACGCACACACACACAACACTAGCCATCCCACACACTCATGCACTCTCCTCAAGCCATTTTAGTTTGCCGTCCCACACACACACACCCATACACTCGTCCTCATCTCCATTGCAGTGAACACCCACACAGATTTCTGCACTGGGAGTGAGATGCAGATAAAAAAGAACAAATATAGTGTGGGTTTGATTCCAAAGTGCCATGTAGGAAATCCACAGTAAATTCGGAGAAATAAGTGTTGTTACCATACTTGTCAACCCTCCCGATTTTCGCGGGAGACTCCCGATTTCATTGCCCTCTCCCGGTTTCCTCCCGGGGTCATATTTCTCCCGCATTTCTCCCGATTTCTGACAAAATCAGATTTACTCAGGACTGTTTCCACTCCGACTTTAATACAGCTACACCATTGTTTGGTTTCCATGGTAACACGTCTCTTTAGTAGCGCGCGCAACTGAAAGTCTGAGAGGGTGAGGCAGATAGTCACAGAAAACAGAACAAAAATCGACAACTGCTCTACTCTCTGCTCACTCCTTTCCTGCCCACACATATGCTCCATCAAGGACGGTGCTACAGGCCGCAAGGCATTGCACTTAGAACTACAATATAAGCATGTTAATGTTAATCTAACAGCTCCGGCGATCCACTAGCANAAGACATAGTGTGGAGTTGCATTAGGAAACGCTGTGGTGGCTGTACTGTTCCAGCAGTCTCCTTTGTGTTTGTTTGTTTCCCCCTGTCTGTGTTGTTTGTGTGTACAAACAACACAGACAGGGGGAAACAAACAAACACAAAGGAGACTGCTGGAACAGTACAGCCACCACAGCGTTTCCTAATGCAACTCCACACTATGTCTTACGGTGCCGTGTACCGAAGGGGAGAGAGAGAGAGCAGCGAAGGGGGGGGGGGGGGGAAGAGAGAATAATACGGTTTCCTGATAAAGCTGTGGAGAGTATGTGCTGCAGGGAGGTGGATGCACAACGCACCCAGGAACGAACGCTAGCTCCGGTCCTTTTTACTGTGGACTCGATGTCCTGACAGGCTGGTATTTGTGCAACCTGCACAAACACAATACTGCACCATGATTACAAATGGTGAAATACAATGTAAAACTAACGAAAAATAGAGAGCGGAGATGTGTCCCCTGTGTAATGTAATATGATGCGTTTGACGTATGACCTTAAAAAAAAGCCTTTTTTAAGAGCAGAGCTCAAAATTGCTCCTTTCCCTCTGAATTCCTGCCCTTATGTCTCGTAAAACATATCAAATCCTGCATTCACTTTTTTAATTGTAATTTTCAAGCAAGTTTAAGCATAAATGTAGAAAAAATAAAAACCTGCAAGATGCTCTTTAAGTATCGATCACACCAACGTTGGTAGCGATACATCGATATTTTTTATCGATCCGCCCACCACTAGTCCATACACACCATTCCAATGTGTCAGTACGTCTTGTAATTAAAGTTAAATAATAAGCTTTCTGTTGATGTTGTTAGGTCTAGGTTTGTTATGTGTTTGTACGAATATCTTTAAGGAATGTTCAATGTTTTAGATTTTTAATTAGCGATAGTCTTTTCACTGTTTCTGTAGTGTAGTGGTTATCACGTTCGCCTAACACGCGAGGGTAAGCCGTGTATACCCATAGAGGACTTTCTATTGGCCAGAAGCCTCTTCAAAAGAACGACGGTTCGAATCCCACCTGATCCAAACTAAAATCCCCACATTCGGTTTCAAAATGTTGCTCATTATACACAAATACTACATTTATCTTTTCAAACGTTTACATTTAGAGTTGAAACAGATATTTGGAGTTAGAAATGAATTATTCTTTCTTGCTGCCTCTTATAAGTTATTTTAACCTTAATATATAGCAATCATAACAATAATAACACAAATAATGATATCTTAATATTAGTAATAATAATGTTTTATATAATTTTTTTGTATTTTTACTTATAAACATGTTTGAAATATGTTGATTGTACAGATGTTTACATAGAGCATATGAGTGTGCTTAATTCTTCTTTCTATCACTATTACTTCCTCTATCAAGTAAAGACAGTCACAGTGATGCATTCAAGATCATTTATTCAAAAACAGCTGAAACATCAAATATAGGAAATAATATAAATATAACTACAGATATATAAAAAATACTGAAAACACAATACAGAGAGAACAATCAGATCCTGAAAAAAGAATTGAACCATATTATATTCTTTGTATTTTTGGACTATATGATATGTTGTATTGCACCTTAATATGTAATATTATAATTTAGAAGATAGTGTATTGTTTTGTTATAGATTTATTTGATATCACCACCATCCATTATCTGAAATGTTTTTCACCTCATGTTATTGTATGGTTACTATTCTGCATTCTATTCTAATTTTAGTGATTTATACCCTATTACTTGGTATTTGTTTTTTTATTTATTGTAGTGCAATAATTATATTTATTCTAGTGTAGTATATAATATTCTAGTGCAGGCCCCAGCACCGACAAGGTTGGAGTGGAGGACCTATAGAAATCCCTGAAATGATTATTATTCTTTATTATGAATTGAGTTTTTTGAGGGCATTAACCAAAACTGTTTTGTTCTTGGCAGGAATGTCAGGACGGTGAAAAGGCTGATAGTTTAGGGGTCTCATTTTTGTTGCAGGCAAAACGTCTTAGTTTATATGTTATTAGTATGAAACTTAGTAGACCCAGGAAGTGGCGCGTGCATGTGTGTATGTGAGGGTAGGTTAGGGCTTCCTTTTGTCTGCAATCCATCTGTCCCTTTCAGCATCATAGAAGTCCGACTGCTGGAACTCCGGCCACGTCATCTCCTTCTCCATGCCCTGTGCATTACATCAGGAGAAGACTCTGGAGGGGCAGTGGATATACTTCCCCGGGCAAGTCAGAGCTGTAAAACACACAGTTACATCAGATACAGTTAAATAAAGCTCTATATAAATGACTGCTTTAATACAGTGTCTCAGATATCCATACCTTCATCGAGGACAGTGTCTCCCTAAGCTTCCACAGGGGCCACATTATGTGGTGATGAATCTGGGACGATGAGATACAAACAGGCAAGAGACAAGTGGTACACATTATATATCGAAATTAAGAAGCAGCATTTAAGAAGTTGTGAAAAATGAAAACAGAGACGATGATATCATGACTTAACTTTACCTAAAACGTGAGCACTATACTGTATGACACCGTGACGATGTGATTTGTCAGAATGAAATGTACGTTTTTTTTCACCTTGTCCATCAGGTAGAGGGTGGAGCCGACGTCATTCTCTAGGAGCCACCTGTACAGTTTCCCCTTATACTTTTCGAACTGTAGCACGTACTCCCCCATCCCCTCGAGTCGGTCGGATACATCCCCTCTGNCAGGTGTCTTTGGCCCTGGCTCCAAAGCCGACAGTATGTTCCCCCTCTGACGCCACTGGTGGGGCAGGCTTCCTGGAGCACAGGTACTTCCTTGCTAGGCCCTTGGGGATTGAAGGTCCCACCTCTCTCCTCCTCGTCCACCTTGTCCATCAGGTAGAGGGTGTAGCCGACGTCATTCTCTAGGAGCCACCTGTACAGTTTCCCCTTATACTTTTCAAACTGTAGCACGTACTCCCCCATCACCTCGAGTCGGTCGGATACATCCCCTCTGAAGGACCTCAGTGAGAGCATTTGTCCTCACATGCTTCTGAGGGGCAGACTTGTCCTGAAGGGAAGGATTTTTTTTTATTCTCATACCCTCCTCTGAAGGGTCCTGTCTCAGGTGGCCAGATGGACCCTTCCTGAAGGACACTCATCTTTCCTGGGAAGAATATGGTTTTCTTCATTATCTCCTGCACACAGAAAAACACAATGCAACATATTATTAAGAAGTGCAAAAATCATCATACTGTTATATTAGCAGAGTTATTCATTTCATTCATTCACGTTAACCAGGATTTGTATAGGTAACACATGTTATATTACATGATCAGACAGGCAGACAAACAAACAAACAAACAGGCAGGTGGGCAGGTGGGCAGGAAGATTCATTATGTATTGCCCTGTCAATGTGAGTGAACTCACTTTATTTCATGTTTACATTCATTGGGATTTGTAATGACTAGGTAACAACTTTTCTATTACATGAACAGACAGACAGAAAAGCAGATGGGTAACATCTTTAGCCATAAAATAATAACAAAAGTATAATAGAAGATAGCAACACAAGTTTTAAGACTGAATACTGTAGTATTTACCCAATTAAAATGTACTGTAGTAAGTAGAACTGCTGCAATGAAAAGAGTCAAATAATGACAGCTCTTTTGCCATGTGTAATGAGTAATAAATCAGCTGCTGTGAACGCTGACATTTACTGTAAATACATGACGTTAGTGTAACATTAGCTAACAAAAGTTACAGTACCTTAGCGCTAACAACACACAGAGTTAAAGACAATCTAACAACTAACAACTATTGCAAAAACAGTGTAACAATATCATAAGTGTTAATTCAGTCGTAGAAAAAGAAGCCCCACTTACGTTTGATAAGTCTGACGTGATGTTAGAACTAGAAGTCGAATTATGTCGGTAATGTCGTCTCTATCTGTAAGATCCTGCTGCTGTTGCTCCGTCTCTCACTCTCTGTCACTGGAAACGGGGTCTCCTTACTTCTACCAAAAGGGTGCAACAACGCCCCCAATTTCTCGCTTGTGGCCAGAAATATATTGCAGTCACAGTGTAAGAACTACCATAGAGAATGAATGGTAAAGTTAAGAGAGTTAGCCCTTAGGTCCCCGATTCGAGACCGGGCGGAAAAACTCTTTATTGTGTTTTTGAGTATTTTAAATGCCTTATCTTTATCGGCCAGTTGTTCACAATAAATAAGACTTATTTATACAACTCCAGGTTGTTGATATGGCATGGAATATATATTAACCCTTGTCCCTGAACGTTTACCCCAGAAATTGCTGCTGCACTTCGTCCTCTGAGATCATGTCTGGTGGGCAGTCCTTTTGTGAGGAGTGAGTGTGTGTGTGTGTGTGTGTGTGCGTGTGTGTGTGTGTGTGTGTGTGTGTGTGTGTGTGTGTGTGTGTGTGTGTTTGTAGTCACTAATGAACTAATGTGCGCTCTCAGTCAGTAACAGCTGTTTGTGTGTTTGTGTCATCACTAATGAGCGAACACGTTGCAGTCTTGACAGGTGTGCAGTTGAGTGTGTGTGTAGCGCTGCTAATGTGCCAAAGTGTGTTATCAGTGAGTGAAAGGTAGGTGTGTGTGTGTGTGTGTGTGTGTGTGTGTGTGGTGGTGGTGGTGGTGGTGTGTGTGTGTGTGTGTGTGTGTGTGTGTGTGTGTGTGTGTGTGTGTGTGTGTAATAGAGCCTCACACAGAGAGCATACGTTCAGGTGTTTTGCTCTCGCTGTTATACTTTCCCAGTTATGATGCTCAGCTGATGAGTTAACAAAATAAATATAGTTTGTTCTTACTTATTACTTTTACTGACTGGTTTTTAATAAGCAGAACATGTACTTGTTCTTTGTCTGTAAATGCTGTCAACTTTATATCCCTCACACCTTTTCAATTCAAGGTGATACATGTCCTGTTTAGGATCATTTTTGTAACAAATATCAGTGTGCAAAAACTCCCCCACCGTTCATTTCTATTTGGACTTAAAAAAAGTGGAATGGAAATGCAAACATTTGCCAAAGAAAGTATATCAGCGTTTGAGTTTCTCTTTTAATAACTTCATGTTGTTGCACCCTCTTCAAAATCATTTAACTGCAACTGAATGGAAAATTAGCATCATCAACTTTTATATCTTGATACACCGAGCTCCTATTTTTCTTTTTGATTTATGGTAGTGGAACACAAACAACCTATCTGTACACAATTTAAATATCCGTTTTTTTGTCAATTTTTCTGGCCGTTTGTTCCTATATTTTAGCTTTTAAACACAATTGTATTGCCTATTTTGTAGGGGTGTAACGGTTCACAAACATTTCGGTCCGGTACGTACCTCGGTTTTTAAGTCACGGTTCGATTCGGTACGTTTTCGGTACAGCAGAAACAATAATCACAAAACATAAAATATTTTTTGTTTTTTTTAATTATTATTAAACTGTGAATATTCACTCAAATAAATACAAAATATAATTAAATAAACATTAAGGTGCAGCATTTCGATGAACTGAAATAATCTGTATTTGAACTTTACTCTACTCGTACCTAAGCAGCCAGTTTGACATTATGACTTGCTTTTCATTGTATTTTCATGTTTTTTTAAAGAAAGATGAACTTGTCCACATTGCTTGCTGAAAGGGCAGATCTGCTGGCAATAACAATGTCTCCTGCTGTGGAGAACACCCTCTCTAGGGACAGAGGTAGCAGATACAGCCAGGTAGCGCTTTGCTAACATGGCAACATAAGGATATTTGGTGTTTGTAATAGCTTTGGCTCGGTCTGAACTTGTTGCGAGTGGTGGAGGCTTAAATGCTAGCGGGAGTTTTGGTACCGGTGATATTCACGTTCGGGTGATGCCTTTTCAAATGAGTGTGCACGTTTGATGTATTGCCAGCCGCGTAACCAATGTTAGTTGAACAATGCCGACAAACAGCTTTGGTTCGGTCCACCGGTCTTTCTCCGTCATCCTTGTACGTAACTGCGAAACCAAAATGTGAGACTTCAATGACGCTGGATGATTTTCTAGCTCAACTTTATCTGCGTTCACCATTTCGACAGTTCCTCAAATTACTGACTAAATTTGAACGCATGCCTCTGACCAGCTCTCATATAGTATGCCTCTCGTCCAATGAAATGACTTGGTCGCTCTATGACGCGTTGAACCCAATGTGAGCAAATGACTCTGAACGCTGCGACACGTTCTCAATTTTTTACATTTAACGTTATATTCCTTCGGTACACACGTGTACCGAAGGGACGTATACCGTTACACCCCTACTATGTTGTAATGCTATGCTAAAATTATGCTCTGTTACACTACCCTATATCTACAAATACCTCTACAACACCCCTCTTCTTCTTCTTTTTAATGAGTTGAAACTTATAGGAAAGTAATAATCAAGAACATGCTATAATGAAAACATCTGCATAACAAAGAAAACTACATTACATTGATCCAAAAACATCACACACAACTTGATGACTGTCTTATTTAAGAATGAATACCACTTGACATGTCGTGCACGCTTAAGTCACCATAGTGTCTATAAATAAAACCCAGAGGCCACAACACTTCCTCTGATGCTGGGCTGCTGTCAGGGAACACACTCACACTCCTACATCTCTCCAAGTTCTCCCTTTTTGTATTCTTTTTTATTTCCTTGTTTTTGTTTTCACTGCTGTGTACACTTCGTCTCTTCAACCCTGCGTGTGTCTTCGTGTTGTTTCTGTCTTTCTCGTAGGCCAAAAATAAACTCTGCTTTTTTCAGCCCTTCTTTTTTTCGTGAAACCTCTTCAACAGGAAGCAAGAGACAGTCACCACACACACACACACACACACACACACACACTCACAAACACAATTATGATACATGTTTTTATCCCGTTCTTTTTAATGCACCTTGCTAAATCACTTTTCTTTGAGTGTGTCCATTTGCTGTCACACTCCGACTTGAAGTACCAGGAGTAACAGTGACTCAGCAGCTTGAAAAAAAAAACACACACATCTGTTCATGACTTGTACATGTGTGTGTGTGTGTGTGTGTGTGTGTGTGTGTGTGTGTGTGTGTGTGTGTGTGTGTGTGTGTGTGTGTGTGTGTTTGACGAAGGGAGGAGGCGTGTTTTTTTCGGTCCTCTTCACAGCGGCTCTTTTCACTGCTCGTACATCTGCTACAATTACAGTAATTATAATGATCATGGATGTTGCAGCTACTGTGGGCCTGCTGTGTGGATGGAGCTTTGCCAGCAGACAATCGGGCACACAGGTGGCTCCGAGGTACACCTCTTTGTGCCACCCCGTGCTTGATCATGTGAGGATACAGTGGCGTGTGAATGTTTTTTTATTCATTGTATGTTTTTTCTGACCTGTGCTGGCTCATCTCTTATTAGAAAGGCGTTGTTAAAGTCACACCAACAGCGCTGATGGGAAATCTTTGTTGTGTGTTTTCTCTGTTAGAAGATACCTCTCGTGTGTCAT